CCAAAAAAAAAAAAAAAAAAAAAAGAATTTGCAATCAAAGAGTAATAATTAGAAACTTCAAAGCAGGTAAGTCATAATCTTGTTTGTTTTAGAAGTAACCCTGGTAGGTGCAGGGCAAATGGCTAGGAAAGAGGTGAGTTCTACGAAGTTGAAGGCATACAAGTATACGGGATTACTCAAGGCAAATACTGTACACACAGCAAGACAACAGGGAAAAAAATTAACATCATGAGCATAAAAAATGACAATATAGACACTATATAAGTAAGTACCTCAAAAACTATAATCAGATAGTCTAATAATTCATATATCAAGAAATACCAACTGGTTAAATTTTAGTGTATTTGTTCTAATTTTTCAATGTCTCTAACCCTAAATTTTCACTTCTTTCTTGACATTACGTGACTCATATATATAACTCTGCATTTAGCTTTTTTCAATTTATTAAATGAGCATTTCCAATGATAACTGAAATACCTTTATTAAACCTTCCAATTTATTTAAGGCCTTGATGGGTATAATTGGATATGCTTCTTACTGCTACAGGAAGAATAAACACCTCAAATTTGAGGAAAAGGCTCATTTCATAAGAATTACCAAAAACAAGAATAATTACACTAGCACATTTCTAAGTAATTTAATTAGGTCAAACAAAATTAAAGGAATATTCATTTGCTGTGTTCCACAGCAGACACTGATAAAGGAATTTTATAAGAAATCAGATAACAGAGATGAAAAATAAGTTTACTATATGGGGGTTTCTCAAATCTCAATACCCTATGTAGTTCGGAAGTACAACTAAGTTAAAGCTCATATATGTGACATACATTTTATACCTGACATAAATAATACTGAATAACTACTGGTTACTGTGTCATCATCACTGTATGTCAAAAATCAGCTCTAGATGGAAGTAGTAGTTACTGCACGGGGAAAAAAAGAATAAAAATGCACTGAGACAAAGAACTTAAATTTCTCCTCATTTTCATGCATTTGTATGCCCCATGCAGTTAAAAGTTAAATCATTTTTTAAGCTAAATCACTTTAAAAGCGTATGTATCTTATCCTTAATTATACTAAGATACTTGAGAAAAGGATGCATATGTATCTTATCCTTAATTATACTAAGATACTTGAGAAAAGGATACATTTTGCCTATTTTGACTTTTCCCTATATCACAGAGCACAGTGCAATACAGTGAATACTTGAGAAACGTTAATGTCACTAATCCTTATAAGGAAAGAGAATAATAAAACAACAATGAAGCAATAATTAAAATTGGGATACTCTGTTAAAAGCAAGTGATCTCAAAGTCAGTATGAATATACCACAATCCAAAGATACACAGCAAAATGAAACAGTGAGGGGAAAAAAGCTTTGTTGTTCTCATCAATGAACAGACCACACTGTCTTTGTTCTTTCTTGGGCACAAAAATGTAAAAGAAATACTGAAAATGCTGGATAATATCCAAACTAGAGCAACTGAGAAACAGATAAACTAAAGATGTTCAAATTCAACAAGAGATGAGCCCTTCAACTCCCCTTCTCTATCTTCAAAGAGAAAAGACAGTGGCATGGGAAGTACTTAAGATTTCTGTCTCATCCAGAGACAACTATCAAATCACAGAGATCTAGAGATCTCTCAATGCAAAAACTTAAAATAACAGATCTCTTCTAAGAAAAAGATGTTATCAGAGATTAGTCACGAAGTAGGAAAACAGCTTGCCAATTATGCTGTGGAAACTTCCAAGCAGAAGATATCTGGTTAGAATTTTAAGTTTCCTTTCCTTACCACATAAATGAACACTTACTGGCTATCTGCTCCAGGAAAGATACTGTCCTACAGCTATAACGTATACCGAACGAACACTAAAGGAGGAGAAATGCACAAAGATCTCTGCTGTCAAGGAATTCACAACAAATGATATATAAAACGTATATTACAGACCATAAAAATGCTCCAAAGCACTATTAACTGCCAAATGAATTCTATTCATATATAGAGGTCTTCTAAAAAGAAAAGATCCCTAAGGTTAAATAAATGAGATATGAGGTTCTCATGGCAAAAAGATGTATGAAGGTTTGAACAGGTAGAGAGAAATAGGAAAGGGGGGACTAAACAAACAGAAGTGAAAAGCAAGTCAGAGAGAAACCTGTTTGGTTACATTAAAAACTTGTTTCATGGGAAAAGAGATAAGCTGGCAAAAGGCAGCTCTTGGCCACAACCAACTGTAGTGAGCCTTGAATACCATGCCACACAGTTTCAAATTTATCTTGCATATGGTCTCTGCAGCAGCTATTCAACTCTAACGTTGTAGGCACAGAAAACAGAAAATAAATGGCATGGCTGTGTTCGAATAATGAACTTTCAATTTCATATATTTGCATGTGTCACACAATACTTTTTGTTCTTCAACAATTTCAAAATGTAAACATCAGTCTTAACTCATGGGCTATACAAAAATTGGCTGCAAACTTCAGGGACCATAGCTTGCCAACCTCTGTACACTAAAATGCCTTCTTTAGCAGTCCTCCAAGGTACATCTGGCCCTGAGTTCCAGGGACCACAATAATATATTATCCATTTAACAATTACATGCATGCACACATACACACACACCCCTAATGAAGATCTAGATCCAGTAGGGGTCAGAGGTTCCCTAGACAGAGGCTGGGGGGGGCGGGGCAGGGGGCTAGTTCCTACTCTCATTGCCATTTACTTATTATTTGACCCCGAATAAATCACTGAATCCTCTAGCCTACTTCTTTCATCTGCGAGGTAGAGGGGTTTAATTACTAGGTGATCACTACCTTTCTCTTAGCTTTGGCACTGCATGATTCTCCTACTTAAAAGGACTAATAGTCAGGAACAACAAAGAGCAAGCAGAAGTAATAATTAAGAACACAAAAATTAAGAGAAAGGCCTTGACTAAATGAGTGGGCAGATAGGATGCTCAATATTACAAAATCAAGGAATTTTTTTAAAAATATACAGGATATTACAGAAAATCAAGAAAGTGGTGAAAAAGGGAAAAACCCCAATGTGTTCAGTCACTGAAGAGATGCCTGGGATGTTCAGGAACAGTTTCCAGTAATCCAGAAGCAAGCGTGGAAGTGGAGGCAATCACTCAGGTGAAGAATGAGTATGGCCATCAAAGAAGAAAAAATTGGTTGACTAGGTAAAAAAGGGAGGGACCTCACATGACGGCCTTCAGATTTGAAAGCACTATGCATACATGTGCTTCCAACAATCATTTAAAAAAAAACAGGGAAAAAAGATAAAGATGAGACTATGGAATAAATACAAAATAAAGTCATACGATCCAGAAAATAAGCAAAAAGGCAAAAAAAGTTACGATGAACTTGAAGCCTCAGATAAGAAGTTAGTCTTAATGGAGAGGAGTTTAATCTTTAAAGTTTCACAAGGTAAAAAGCAGCACTGCAGTATCAGTTTCTACACACCAGATAAGTTCCTGTGAAGCTGTGTGTTTATATCAGGCCTTCTATACACCAAATTGTTATGGAAATATCTAATCATGGTTTTTCTTAAAGCAGAGTAGAACCTATGTTATATTTTATAACAGTGGAAAAACTAAGAAAGGATTGTTTGTTTTTTGTAAGAATGAAAAGCAGCAATATGTAGGTCTAAAAGGAAATACATGTTTATACCTTTCTCCTGGCACCTATCATTTCCTTCCTTGCATAAGAGTTACTTATGCAATATGAAGTACCTTGCCCCTGGTTGGAGCTCAAGGAATACTAGTTGTTCCCTGCTTAGTCGTTTAGAAAGCTCTCCCAGCAAGATTTTTGATTAACTCATCTGTTTATCTGCTTGGCACCTAGTTAGCAATGCTTGATGAATAAATTCTGACACAACTCTGCCTTAAAAAAACTGCAAAACAACCACCACCGTCCATCTGATAAAGTTGTAAAAATATTCGTACTATACAGGTACGTAACTGCAATATTACTTTCACACTGTATCTCACTTGCTTATGCAGCAACAAATTACTACAAAGAAACAAAAAAGATTAAAAAAAAAAAAACTTTTAAGAATGCGTAATGACCACTCATAAACATCAAGATCCTACACAGCTAAATTCAAGGCAACACTTGTCTCTATTTAAGATACATGAGAAATAAAAACCCAAAGCATTAGCTTGATGATCATCAGTTAAAAATACATGTTTGAATACGCTGGAGATATTTATAAAGCCAACAGAGATACTATTAATATATTGAAATTCACTGGCCGGTGCTAGATTCTGCCCTTAATCTTCTACTACTGTTCAAGGGAAGCCAAAAAGTCATGGTTTCTCCTGTCACTTGCTTTTAAGAATTTAAGAAGTCACCCAAATTGGTATACACAACCCAACGACCAGAAAGAGTTCAGCTCTCCACATGGTCATGAGCTCAACTACTGCACCTTTACATCCAAGACCCATTTACTACTTTTCAACGATCTTTGGCAGGTCCCATTTAGAAGGGCCAACGAGTACTACGACCGCACGAAATAACAGGAGTGGAAAAAAGTCCTTAACAGTAAACTCTGCCCTCCCACAGATCTCAACTTGGGTGTAGATTTCACAAGCCCTGTAAGCTATCCACTGCCACTGTCAAAACCAGAAGCAGCACCGTCACCCCGCCGTGCCCATCGGCAACTGTTCCAGAATGTTTTCTTTGAAATGATCTCTCCCTGGGCTCGACATATTAAATACGGACTTGAAAGGCCACCTCCTCCTCCTCACCCACCACCACCGCCCCGCAGCCAGACCCGATGCCTTCGCGTCCGCTCTTTTCTTCGTCCACCCATGCACAGCGAGGGGGGAGTCTCCGCCCCGGCCCCCGAGACCCAGCGGTCCCCCAGCTGCTCGCTGCGCCCGTCGCACATCGGGCCACACGCCCCCCTTCTTCCCCACGGCCCGGTCGACCGCTCTCCCGGGCCTGGGCGCCTCCAGCTCCCGCAGGCCCGGGCCTAGCCACCCCCGCCGCCCCTCACCTCCTTCGGGACCAGCTGGTTCTCCTCGCCGGGCACCATCGCTCAGACTCCGGCCGCTCCTCTCCGCCCCGCCGGGGGGGGGGGGGAGGAGGGAGGGGAGTGGCGGCGGCGCTCTATCTCAGGAGAGAACGGCAACGGCAGTCATCGTCCCCGCTGCCCGAGCTCCCGCAACCGCGGAGGCCTCGGCTTGGGCCTCAGACACCAACGCGCAGACACCGACCCAGGGCGCCGCCGCCGCCGACGCCGCCGCCGCCGCCGCCTTCGTCGCCAGCCCCTCCCCCAGCCCACTTCAATCAATGGAAAAATGGCGGCCGCTACTCTCGCGAGAATTCGGCCGTCGGGCTCCCAGCCCGACCTCCTGCGTTTGAGGTGCTGGAGCTGCGGTCGCCCGCTTTTCCTCTTCACAGCTCTTACTCAGCCCCCGGGGGTGCAGAATAGGCTCACGCGGGAGGGGGAGATGCGGACGCTTTTCGTCAGGGGAAAGCTCGGCCTTACACGCCGGGACTCCCTCTGCCGGCGGGGAAAGGACCAGGCCCCACAGTCCTCCCTCCATGCCAGGTCGGGCTCCTTCGCTCCCCGCGGGTCTAGGGCCAGGGCAGAAAACCCGGTGCGACTCTACCGCCCCTGCTCTCCGCGCTTCCGGTTAGCGAAGCGCCCGACGCGGGCCCCTTCACACGTCCCTTCTGTTCCGGTTAAAGAAACCGCACCGCGCGCTACCCGCTGGCCTTCGCCCTCGACAAAGCTGAGGACCTGCGAGTCAGAAAGGACGCGCTCAGCCGCCCATCCGCTATCGCCCCGCTATCGCTCCTCTCCGCCCACCCGGCTGGAGCGCCCGCGACGCCCAAGCAGCCCGCGCCCGCTAAGCACCGTTACTGTCGCCCCTCGCAACTGCGTGGGCGGGGCCATGCCATCCCCTGAACTTCCTTTTCTACTGGGCCAGTCTGGGGCGAGAGCCTCTGAGAGCAGGGCTGCAGTAAGCTTCAAGCTGTAATCGTCTTTGAAAATGTGTTTAGAGAACTTTAATCTCTGGCATTAAGCATTGTGCTTTGTGTTACACTAAACAAAGTTTGCAATAGTCATTTTTCCTAATCCTACTTCTTCCATTATGAATAATCATCGAGAAGTCCTTCATAAAGACTTCCGTGGGTACAGTGATCTTACAGCATGCTGAGATAATATAATATAATAATATAATAAAATCCTGCCATGTTCCTAACACCCACAGTATAACTGCCTATATCTGTGTGTTGTGTTCTCCAAACTTTCTTAGATCATATTCCCTTCTTACCAAAAAAAATGTATTTATGTAAGTTATATACACGTTATGACAATATAAAACATTTGTAAAAATCGTAAGATAAATATTTAAAAAGCATTTAAAATAACATTTTTATATTTATGATATTTACATGTAATATATTTCTATATATTTATATATAATAAATTTATATAATATAAATATTATATTTATAATATAAAATGTATTAATCCACTGAAAGTATTAGTGAATTCACTATAGTTGACTAGGTTTCATTAGTTTTGAAAATCTTTAATCCTTGTGAAACAATTATTAATGTCTGATTCAACATTCAGGTTATTTCTGTACTTGGTTTTAATGGCTGTCATAATCTGAAAAAGGTAACAAAGAAAGACGTAGATCCTAACAGAAGTAGTACATCTTTGCTGCTCTTACTAATACAAGTACCTATCAGTTCCATCCGCCAACTATACAAAGGTTTTTGTTGAAGTTCAGCTGGTGATTTTCCACCTTCCTTGATATGATCCAGAAAATTTTTGCATTTTTATATTTTTATTACACTCTAGCCTCTTTAAATACATTGCTCAGAAGATTTCTTAATACACTGAAAATTTCCTCCTTTAAGTTAAAATATGTATACATGAGTTTTGGGGTAAGAGTGATGTTGTCTTTGAAATTTAAATTTAAATATTTTGTTTGTCAATGATTTTTTAAAATTAACTTTGTAAAATATTACATGAAGACTATCTTGACTACTGAAATTTTGGTGTTCCCTTAAATTTTGTACCGGAGATAAGTGACTCAATTGCCTCACCACCATTGTTCCAGCCTTGGGTAGCACACATATACCATTTTTACACAAGATTACGTTCCCCAGTGCCTATTTTTAAACGTCATCCCCGTTATAACCAGTCACTTAATAAATAGACCTTGCTAATCATCCAGTAGTTCTACTGTGAAGGTTTCATTATCAACTACTATTCTCCACTTATATATTACCTCCATGAAAATGATTACACATTTCTATATGAAATTTCCCTCTGAAAACAAATTTAGTTATTAGTAACAAGACTGAAAAAAATGAAGTGATGGATCTTAGCCAAAAAAATAGGTTTTTTGTCTAAGTTTGCCAATGCCTTCTCTGTATGATGGGAATAACATCATTAAAAAGGAAATAACCAATTTGGAAAACGACTTTAGTGACTGCATCCATTTACATTTTTGTTTTTTCTTGGTTTTTCTCCGGTATCAGGAACCGAACTCACAACCTTGCGCTTGCCAGGCAGGCGCTTTTGCCGCTGAGCTAAATCCCCAGCCCTTCCATTTACTTTTAAAAAGTCATCAGTTAAATCGAAAACTCAGTGAACATTGAAAAGATGACTAACTTTTGGTATAAAGGTAAGAATATGTGACATGATGCTCAATAAAATGTAACCCAGAGGAAAACGAGGACCATATATAAATGTTTTCATGAATAAAATGAGGGCATTGGTGTGACCTCAGAGAAAGATGGGTTCAAGGACCTGGAATAGCATTTTTCTGTTGACATAAAATAAAGTCACTGCCACAGAAGTGCTTACCTCTTACTGAGCTGAAGATGTTCATAAAGAAAACTTATAGGTCAGTGTGTTCAGCAGCTTAAAAAAGAAGCTCACATCAACAGAAAATGCCTTGGCAAACATACCCGAGGAGGAGAAATTAATATCAGAGCTTAAGGCAACCAAAGACAAATTGACCATGATTCATCCTAGCTTTCTCTAGGGTTTACAAGCACTTGGATTTCAAGGTGCAAGAAAAAGAGAAAATCTAATAAAAATTGGAGGCATGTTGCTAATCTTTCTGAAATGATCTCATAAGATCTTTGCAATAGAGTAATGTCTATAAATTTAGCATTAGAAGAGTTCTCAATATTTTTGAGAATGTCAAGGGTGAGTTGTAATAATTACTTTATAGCATTGTTAGACCTAGAAATAATGTATATAGAAGTGAATATTTTACAAAAAATGTTGCTGTGGAACAAGAACAAAACCTAGAACTTCAAAGAAAAAGATGGCAATTTAGAATTCTTATACCTAAGAAAATATTAATATAAATAAGATAAAAACCCAAAATATCAGCTGAAAAATATTTGCAACAAATATGGCAAATGGATTATTTCCTCCATATAAAATAACTCTTATACATCAACAAGGAAAAGATGAGCAACCCAGTAAAGAAATGCTTAAAGGAGACACATTGATACTTAATAAAAATGAAATACAATTGCCAATAAACATCCAAAAAGATATTCAATTTTACTCATAATTAAATAATTGCAAATGAAAATAACAAAATGCCATTTTCACTGTCAGATTAACAAAATTTGTGAAAAAACAAGAACTCTTACTTTGGTGGGATATAAAATAGTGTAAACATCTTGAAGGCAATATGACAAGATATATCACAATTCCAAATATTTCTTTTGATCAGCAGTTCTAAGATTATTCTGTAGTACAAGTGCACAGATATGTATGTATTGATATTAATTACAATCTTGTTTGGAATAACCCAAAATTTGGAACAGCATGAAAAACCTTCAATAAGATTTATTTGCCTCCATAATTTATATAATCCCTATATAAATAGTATAGTGATTAAAATGAGATGAAAAAATAAAAACTGATACAAACTAAATGCAACATGGTGTGCTGGATTAGATCCTGCAACGAGTAAAGAACATTTGTGGAAAAACCAGTGAAACCTAAATAACATACAGAGCTTAGTGAATGTTAATGTACCAATATTAAATTCTTGTTTTTGATAAAAATACCTTGATGTTGTAATATGTGACTTTTTTTGTAAATTCAAAATCATACCAAAATGAGCAGTTATTTTTTAAAAGTGATATGGAAAGACAGCCAAGATGGAATAAGTGAAAAAAAAGATCCAGAATGTTGTGAGATAATGTGTATAATATTTTTGTATTAGCGGATGGGGTCATACACAAATGTACTACCGCAGGCGTAGCAATCTCTGGCAGTGCAGGCTCCTCCCCCTTTCTCCTCCTCCAAAGTAAACAGGGGCTAGCTCTGAGTCACTGGAATAGAAGTTTTCAAATTCAATGGAAATAAGGCTTAATTGAAATCTCTCTCTTTCTCTCTCTTTCTCTTTCTCCCTCTCTCTTTCTCTCTCTCCCTCTCTTTCTTTTCCTTTTTTATTTTACTTTCACATTAAATCATTCTGTGTGCTTTCAAATTCTGCAGAGGGGCATGTGCTTCTTACATAATTTTAAAAACAACTAATTAAGAAAATAAAGTATTGGGGCTGGGGATTTAGCTCAGCGGCCCAGCGCCTGGCAAGCGTGAGATAGTAAGTTTGATTCCCTGAACTGGGAAAAACACCAAAAAAAAAAAAAGAAAAGAAAGTATGAAAATTGATGACATAATGACTGACACATTGTGAACGCTCAATAGTTGAGAATTTTTATGATCTTGTACTGCCTGCTATTATTCATGTTTGTTACTATATTTCTAATATTAATCACAAATTTGTTTTGATTACCTACTATGCTCCAGGCCCTCTATTAGGAATTTTACACATAGCACCTCATTATTCCCTCCGGCTACACTCTGAGCAGATATGTATGTTATCCTCATTTTACAGAGGAGGAAACAGGAAGAAAAAAATAACTTGGTAAAACCACAAGGGGAATGAATGGTGGGCCCAGATTGAATCCAAGCAGTCTGACTCCAATGTCTTTCATCACAGATAAAGCTTTCATTACATCAATAGCTATTATTTTTTAATTTTCTGGATGGTTATGTGGTAAGTGTAATCTACCACTAAA